AAACTCTGTAAACCTTTCAACCCTAAGCCCTCAACCCTAAATCCTATAAACACTTAAACCCAAAACCCTAAACCCTACAAACCCCAAGCCCTGAACCACAAACTACAAACCTTATAAGAGTAACCCTGAGCCCTGATCCTTGAAGCAGCCAGCCTAAGGCGAGTTAGCGGAAGACCTTCTCCAGGAGGTTCGGAGCAATATTGAGCAGATGGAGGCCGAACTACATAGTGATCCTAATGATTTAGGGTTCAGGGTTTAGGATCTATGGTTTAGAGTTTAGGATTTAGTGTTTGTGGTTTAGATGCCATAACGCGGAATCAAGTGGAAAAGAAAAAGCTACACGTGAAATGGAACTTGTGTTATAGAGAAGTTTAAAGGGACGGACTGCTATGTAAGGGCCTATTCGGCCTTCTCTTGTGAGTGTGGACTTGCAGAGGTTGATGATTGGGTGGAGCATTCTAAGGTTATATGGATACTACTCAGTGAATGATTGTAGTTGGTTTTTGAATGGTGTTTTGCAGGGAGTTAGTTGTTGAATGGTGTTTTGCCGAGGTTGTGATTGCGTTTTGTTCAAGCTAGTTGTATGCTGGATGCAGGTCTTGGGTCTTCAAGGGAAGATCTGACACTGGGGTGCCCAATGAGATGTGAGCTATAGTCTAAACTCCTTAAAGGGTGTTTTATAGGGGAGTCTATATGGGAGTATATTGAGGCTTGTTAAGGGGGATACTAGGAGTTTAGGCTATAGCTCGTATTGCCAACTGAAGCATCCTTATCGTGCTCGCACTGAGTCCTTGACTTAAGGTTTTCCAAAGTTGGTAGATCCTCAAGTTTATGGTTCGCGGGCTTATGGTGAGGATTGTGTGCCTGATGGAGTACATATTGGCTATTTGGTAGATATCATGAAGCATAACAAGTAGCTTGACTCTTTATCTTTCATCTTCCTTGCCTCGGAATTATACAGTCCCCCGAGAAACCATTCTAAGCCTTCACGCTCTGACAGCCAGTAAATGGTGGTATTGGGGGGGGGATCTCATGCGTAGCCCGCTCTGTGTCTACGTGACTAGGGGGCATGTTATTCAGGATTATGTGAAATGCACATCTAAGCATCCACGTAAGCAGGTTGTACATTCGCAGCTGTCTGCAAGTTTGAGAAGTCTCATGGTGGGAAAACTAGGCGTTTGCGTGCAAGGGCCGAAGCCGAGGTGTAGTGAGAGCTTACTGGCTTAGGCCTTAGGGTTTAGGGTTTAAAGTTTAGGGTTGGATGTTGGCATGATGAGAGCTTCATTCAGAATTGACTCGAGCTCCCCTGCGTTCCTTTCTCAATAAGCTCCTGAAACCCCTTCTTGTCGAAGACTGAACAATCACGAATTCTATTTGCAACCTCGGCGGAAATGTAATATAGCGCGCCCCAAAGCTCTATTCTACTTGTTTAGCCCCCTACATGCCCCTGTATCATCCCTACATACCCCAGTAATCCACCTATACATTTCGAATCCCAGCTGCTAAATCCGAAGCTCTGACCAGCAAAAGGTGCCCCTTCTTGGCTCGCTGCGACCAGGGAGCCCGACGCATGGAGGCATGCCAGACCCAGCATCAGGTTGTGTAGGGTTTTTTAGGGTTTTGAGGGTTTAGGATTTTAGGGTTTAGAGTTGTTTGGGGTTTTGGTTTTCCAGAAAGTAGGGGTCCATTTCGGGGTCCATCTACTGCATTGTAGTATGTTAGGGTAGCCAAGAGACGCTCCTTACTTGAAACCGTAAACCCTAGGGCTTGGTGTTCACGGCTTGGAGTTTAGGGGGTCGTCGAACTGATGGGCTCTTTTAGGTCCCCATTTGTAAGACGGCTGCTCTTGGGAGGTGGATAGGGAGGCGACACCTTGAGGCAGAGAGCTTCTCCGAAATGTGGGAAAATATCTCCGTAGGGGATCCAAATAGCCCAAAATGATTATGACTCATAGACTTTGGGGCCAAATGTAGGTATTACTTATGGACGTGGATCCCTAGGATATGGGTTGGCTGAAATCTGGTAGGGACCGACTTGCATGTATAAAAGCCTTAGTTGCTTCGGGCTTGTGTCTGTGAGGTACCAGCAAACTTGTTTAGAGAAAAGAGGCAACCTAAGTCGAGCATTTCCACATCTTAGTAGGGTTTCTTTTGCTTGGTTCAGCTTCTAATATTATGGAAATACTCCCCATTTCTACGCCGACTCGTCAAGCTGCCTGACTAGTACAGACGGACAACTTGCATTGTTCCAGTCTCACTCACGGTAACACATCAAGTACATTTGTGAAGCTCTATGAAGGCCCAGTGAGCCTAAGAGTGGTAGATGTCAAGGAGAACAGGGTAGTATAGAGGGGTAGTAGCAGGGGAACCCATGATTTTTTCTTGAAAACCCTAAGCGCAAAACCTAAACCCTAAACCCTTCATCTGGAGACAGCAGGGAAGCCTTGGTCTCGCTGCTGGACGGTAATCCAGAACCCTTAAAGGAAACCCAGCCCCCCAAAATGATCCCATTTGCTACATAGGAAAATGACCGCTATCGGGAGTTGTCGGGGCTTTTTCGGGTTTATATCTAGAGTTATATTGTGATTGGGGTTTAGGAACCCATTGCTACATTGGGGGAGCCTTGGGGGATTATAGGGAGGCTCCATTTTTTTTGATCTTTTAGTGTAAACCCTAAACCCTAAACCTTAAACCCTAAACCCATTTTTGTGGATCTTTTAGGGTGGTCTGGGAAGGTGAAGATCAGCTGACTGGAGCACAGCTCAAGAGACTCGCCATGCAGCTCTACACCAAGGCGCCTCTGCTGCATGGACGATGCATTCTGGGTTTTTGAGGGTTTAGGGTTTAGGGTTTAGGGTTGGGGCAAAACTAAGTTTTCAGAGGGTAGGGTTCCTGAGGACCTATCAGAGGCTGTTTGGGAGAAAGTACAGAAAGTTCCTAGGTCATCTGAAGGGGGAAGTTAGTTGTCACCCTTGCAGGGTGCTTTCGTGGGAAAAGGTACAGTATTTTGCTCAAATATCATGTGGGCGAGAAAACATGTACGCTTCAGGGACAGAGCGCACTCTGTATGGTCGTTTCCTTAATCAGAGTACCCCGACATAGACCAAAAAAAGATGGGGACTCCGAAGAAGATACCCCTAATGTTGGGAACCCCTACATAATCCCTATGTAGTCCCAGGTTTCATTTCATTGTCCATCTTCTTTTCCACTTGATTCTCCATGATTGGGGAT